ATACCTCAGAGCTAAATATTACTATGGTGACTTTTGAGGTATTCTCCTTTAGAAGCTACCCACTGACACCAGCACCTAGGCCACCCTTCAAAGCAATTTTGGAACTCTTTTTCTGGAATGGCCATCAGAGCTATCAATGTGGAGGTAGGACAACTAAGTTCACAATGAAATCATTCTAAGAAAGTGCTTTTATTTTTGCAGTTTGAAAGTCAGAATAAATTACATATAGCACTATGAGGTTATACGTCATTGCTGAATATCACCATGGTCACCACACTGCCAAGGGGAGTACTCTGAATGTGACCAGAGTGACATTCAGCAATGAGGTGTGACAGTGCTATTATATATAATTTATTCTGACTTTTAAACTGTAAAAATAAAAGTATATGGATGTTTGAAAGAATAAGTGAACCTCACATATCCCCCATTCGAGATAAAACAGAACATAATCAATGATTTAGAATCAAGTGCCTGCTGACATTCCCAGCCATTCCAAGAGGTAACCACTATTCTAAATTCTGTGATAACCACCTACTTGTTTTTCTTTATAGTTTTGCCATGTAAGCAGGGTTTCCTAAATAGAATACCGCTAAGTTTTTCTGTCTTGACCTCTGTGTGAATGGAATCATATTGTATGTGTTTTTCTGCGATTGCATTTAATTATTAGTCAACATATTTTTCGTTTCCCAATTCCATTCCGTTTTCTGTTTATCTGTTCCTGTGACTCTGCCACACTAATTACTACAATTTTATACTATGTCTTAACATAAGGTAAATATTGTACAGCTATTGCTTCTGAATTTCATTTTTATCACTGACATGTATGTCTATACATTTGTCTGACTGTGATACTATTCAGTTTTATTTGTTTTTGGACTTTTTAGAAGGGATATTATTTTGCATGTATTTTTCTGGGACCCACTTTTATGTACTATTATGTAACTCAGATTTATTCCGACTGTTCCATGTAGCTAATTTAGTTTTATTGCTATGTAATAGGCACTAGTGTGAGTATATTAGAGTTGTTTTATGTACTATCTACAGTAGGACCTCCATAGCTGACCACCTCCCTACATTGACCACCTCCTTAAGTTCACCTAATTTTCATAAACTTGACATGCTCCAGGACTGTAGGCCTAGTCTCTTACGTTGGCTATGTCCATATGGTGATTAGTTTGTTACAGCCCTTTTTTGGGGGGGTCACCGTACAGAGATTCTACTGTCTTTAGATTTACTCATGGCCTGGTCATATCCATGCTTTCTCTTACCTTCCCCTTGGAAGGCCTTGAAAAGCAAAGCCAGAAAGCACCATCAAAGCAAAACCTCCCCACAAGCGAGCCAGCCTGGTGCAGAGAGCCACATAAGAGCCACACTCACCTGCAGTACTTGAGCGGAGTGCCGGAGAACTCACTGCCATCAGACTCAGGCTCAGAGCGGTTCTCAAAGTCAGAAATCCGAAACACGGACAAGCTGGCATTCACATAGCCAACCATGCACCTGTAAGAGAAAACCAGTTCTACAGTTAGATTCCAGATCAGCTTCTCTGCAGCCAGGCCTCTCGTGGCTAGTTTCCTAGAAGTCCCAAGTGCCTTTAGCTGGCCCTGCATTGGCATAAGCAGCCCTGGGCACATTCAATCAGGAACATGTTACTTCTTTTGTTACAATCCTTTCTGGGCAGTATTGTCATATAAAAGAGCTCTATCCCAATTAATGCCTCAGTGAAATAGGTTAAAGATGGCAGCATCACATGATGAGCGTAAATGGCATGTGTCTCAGAGGTTCCTTCACTGATGACACACACATGCACACACACAAACATGTTCCCTCATGAATGATATTTTGCATATTTTTTTTTATCAAAATGCCCTGGATATGACTGGTCTGACCATAATCAATCCTGTTCCCAACTTGAATGTGCAGTGCAGTCATGGAGACTATATTCCCTGAGGGCGTCATGTTTTATGCTGCTGTTCAAGCTGTCTTTTCTGTTGGAATTCTCTCCATCCTCCTTTAAACAGGAATAGTGCTTATCCTTTAGTGGCCAACCAAAACGCCACTCTTTCTGGATGATATCCTAATTCCCTCAGTCAGGACGACTCACTCCTTTCCTTCTCTAGTCACCATACTTCATTCATAATTACCATCTGGCTTGTACTAGTGTGGGCGGCCTACATACATCTTCTCCTCTGGACTGTAGTTTTTGGAGAGTCAAGCCAGTCTCTTAGGTATTTCTGTATCCTACCTCCTTGGAGAGTCTCATGTAGTGTAGGAATCCAGGAAATATTAAACTCAGTTGATTTGATTGGAGGGAAATTAACGTACCAGGCAGTCTGTCAATCACTTATTAATAGATGATAGATCAATAGAACGGGTTGATAAAATCAATGACTCATTCTATCAAGAATCCCATTAAAGAAATAGCACTTTCTAACAGTATGACACAAGGTAGCACTCTTAGAAACATCTTTTATATGTATGTCTCTAGACAGAGTTTTACAGGTCGAACATTGAGGTAAACACATCCATTTGCTGCAATGACAATGTTTGAAACTTTGCATGAAATTATCACTCTTAGCTACACCTTTTATAACTTTTTCTTTAAATAGCACTTTATATGCAGAACATTGTCTTGAGAATGAGCCAGCAATAAAACTATTGCCTGGACTTGTCAGGGATAGTAAGTTTATTGAGGACAAGGCTTGTTTTTATGGTACTAAAAGTTTGGGCTTTGGGCTAAAACCTTAGCTCTAGGGCTTTGTAGCCAGGCGTTCTTGGCAAGTTATATAAAACATCTTCTTTTTTTTTTTTTTTTATTGTGGCTATACTTTATTTCTTCATTTTTGCTTACAACTGAAACTCTGGGAATTCAAAATTAACATCCTTGCCTGGGAGCTTCTTACAGATACCAGAAAAAGTTTCAACCATTTTATTCTGCTGTGCTTTGTCCAATAAACCTTTATGAGCTGGTTGCTATAACTGTGGGATTCTCTTGCCCACCGTTCCACTTGGGAAGATCAAGTCTCTAAGAATCACATCATGCATGGTGGTCAGAGTGTGGCTCCTGGGGTGATTTTGCTTACTTTTATACAGTTTTTTGAGTTGGCTTAGGTAAAATTCTCCTCAAAGCGATAAAAATAACATGATTCCTATTGAACTTTGTCTCCAATTCACATACTAGCTGGACTTGAATTTCTCTTTTTTTTTTTTTTTTTTGAGACGGAGTCTCAAGCTGTCCCCCTGGGTAGAGTGCCATGGCATCACGCTCACAGCAACCTCCAACTCCTGGGCTCAAGCGAGTCTCCTGCCTCAGCCTCCCAAGTAGCTGGGACTACAGGCGCCTGCCACAACGCCTGGCCATTTTTTGGTTGCAGCCATCATTGTTGTTTGGCAGGTCCGGGCTGGGGATTCGAACCCGCCACCTTAGGTGTATGTGGCTGGCGCCTTAGCCGCTTGAGCCACAGGCGCCAAGCCTGGACTTGAATTTCAATTGAGAAACAGAAACAAAGATTATAATAGCTTTCAAACCACCACCAGCTTCAATTTCCTTGGCTGCTGTTATATTCAGCTCTCTGACCCTTGAGGTCCAAGTTCATCTCTAGCTCCGGAAGGGCCAGACTCAAATTCGTCTGGCTTCTTACCACTGGGTTTCATGATCTTGGCACTTGAACTGAACATGGCTTTCTCCTTGCCACGTGCCAGCTTAGACTATATAACTTCCTTTTTAGGGTTCACAGCTCACAGCAACCTCAAACTCTTGGGCTCAAGCGATCCTCTTGCCTCAGCCTTCTGAGTAGCTGGGACTATTGGCACTATACTGGGACTATTGGCCACATTACTGTTGGCACCTGCCATAATGGTCAGTCAATTTTTCTATTTCTAGTAGAGACAGGGTCTCACTCTTGCTCAGGCTGGTCTCAAACTTCTGAGCTCAAGTAATCCAGCCATCTTGGCCTCCCAAAGTGCTAGGATCACAGGTATGAGCCACCACTCCTGGCCTTTATATCACTTCAAGTGAAGTACTTACCTCATAGGGTAATAGTGGGAATTAAGTTAAATGATGTATATATAGATTGTGCTACAGTACTTTAGCCTGTAGTAAGATAAATGTGAGTGACAATTATTTTATTCACTTCTTGCATATAGCAGGAGGTCAATAAATAATTATTAATTGAACGAACAAATCATGATCTTCAGATTCTCTGCATTAACATGCCTGTAATGATGATCCCAAGCGGCTGATGCCAAGTCAAAAGAATAACATGAGCATAGATAGTTCTGAACGCACACAGATTCTGTGTGTTGTCTCCTGCAAGACAAATCGCTGGCTTTATCCTGGCCTTAAAGAAAAATGAACCAAGCTGAAGGATTCATTTATCAAGTCACTCATGGCTGAAACAAGTGGTCAGTGGGTGTGCAACTCGCCTTAATCCAATGGGCAGCAGGCTCCCTGCTACTCCCTGACAGGGTCATTTGGGGTCACGTCTCCCTCATCTGTGAACTGTCCAGAACTTCACATGAAAACAAATGAGCACCTTGGTGATCATGAGCTGTCACCACACGGGAGCCACTTTTACCACTCTTTTCAGGAGCTGAGCAGTGGGAAGGCACAGGTGCTCCAAAACTGGGGAAGAAGAGCCCGAGCATTGCAGTGGGACATTGGGGCGGCTCCTGCACTCTTACCTGGCAAAGCAGCTTTGAGGCTTTATGGAGATTAAAGCTGCCACCCATTGTCACTCTGTTCAAAAACTCCATTGAGAAAGTCTACACCTGTCTCACAGACAACCCTCTCCCCCAAAGTAAAGAGGGTATACCTCACAAACGCCAACAACGTAACCTAACTGTATACACCCTCATGTTAATCTGAACTTAAGAAATAAATAAGAGGGTATATCTTTGAACCTATTTATTAAGCATATTTATGTAATATAGGTTATAAATCCAAGTTGAAAACGTGTCTTTAATGGTTGGTCATCCTTCCCTGGGCAAAGCATTACATGTAGGCCTAGGATATAAATACGTAGTTATCACCTCTGAGAATCTTCTTCCCATATTATTTCTATCATCAGGAAGAAGAGGGAAATGCTAGCCTCACATTATTGAGGCATTTCACTAACCCTGTTCACCATGGTAGAATCTTAGCTATCGCCAACGTCAAATCATTGGGGCTGTCATCAGTTTGGGAAAATGAGATCTCCCATGCTTGGCCATATGAAGTTCAGCCAGTGGCTTCCGTGTGTCCCCTCACTGGCCTACCACTGGAGCAGGAAAGTCACAGACAACAGCAGACCCACAGCTATCACTCTGCTCACTGGCGGGAGTGCTATGCACCCTCACTGCGACCCCCCGCCAACCCCCCCCCCCAGCAACCAGTGAGACAGAGAAAAGGTGAGGCTTCCCCAGCGATCAGGGAGAAGTGAAAGATACCAAGGAAAAGGCACCATTCTGAGGGTTGCCTATTTGCTTTGGTTGTTGTCTCCTTAGGTGTGCAGAAGCTTTTCCGTTTAACTAAATATCATTTATTTTCATTCTTGTTGCAATTGCCACGGAAGTCTTCTTCATATATTTCCCCAAGTCAATATCTTCAAGTGTTTTTCCCACACTTTCTTCAAGAATTTTTATTGTTTCATGCCTTAGATTTAAATCTTTTATCCATCTTGAATCAATTTTTGTGAGTGGTGTGGGGTCCAGTTTCAGTCTTTTACCTGTGATTATCCAGCATTCTTCTTAGTAAAGTATCACAAGAATGGAAAAGCAGCTGTCTAATGTACTTAATGCTAACGTGAAGCCAGTAGATGATCCGACGCACACCCTCAGAGGAGAAAAACTCATTTCAACCCAAGTTGTGGGGATGGGTAACAAGGGAGGGGAAGGAGGTTGGGATGCTCTCACTCAAGGGGCACGAGGTGGGGGAGGTTGGCACACCTTTTGGACACAACCACAAGAGAGCCTCTATCTAACAAAATCAAATATTTTGACCTGGTTATTTATATCCTCATATTAACCCAAAATAAATTTACTTAAGAAAAAGAAAGAAAGAAAAAAGCACCAGATAATGGAAGGATTTCTGTGAATACAAGGTTAGAAAGTCCATTTTCTTAAAAAAGCTAGTGATGGCCTCTGAAAGTCTTTCCAAGAAAAGAAATTCATAAAATGCCTTTTGTAAGGATAGTGCTTGGATTAGGATGCATATCTCTTCCAAGTAACTTCTGAGAATACCACTTTCATTTAAATGTGAGAATTCATTATTTTTTGTTTTCAATCCTTTAATACATGAGAAAAGGATGAACTAGCAGCCATCACTTTACTATCCCAAAGCCTAAGATTTTCTAAAATTTGACAGTGCTGCTACTCTATGAGTTCAATCATTTCAAAAGCATTTTGTAAATTGGAAAAAGAAAAAAAAAATCTCAAAAGTAATAGAGTGGCCAGTGGGGCAGAAAATAAGATTCATGAAGAAACATACACAAATAGAACTACTTGGAGACATGAAAAATGGCCAGTGGATTAGAAGACAAAGGGGGTTGTATAAATTGAAAGTGGCAGAAGGTTCTTAATTCAAAGGAAAAGGTAACCAAAAAAAGAAAGGAAAAGAAAATCCCTGGAGAGCCCAATAATACAGTTTTAAGGAGGTTATAGATGCATTTTAATCACCACGAACATTGAATAGGTTGTCAAAATTCTATAGCTTTATCATTAACTGTGCATAAATATTATAAATATTCCGACTTTATTTTTTGGTTCACCCCCCAAATAAGACAGGTTTCACCATATTTGAAGTTAGGAAAGAATTAAAATGGCTATTGGGACTTAAAACCATGGGAATTACCATCAGAGGAGCAAGGAAACCTCTTACCCTCAATGGCCCTGAGGGCCCTTGTGGTGCAGGAGGTGACACATCTGTGCAGTGAGGTGCTACTCAGTGTGGGCACCCACAGTTCTTCTGCATTGTATTTGGGGACTTACCCTCTCTTGATCTTTTCTTGCTCCTCAGAGTAAGGAAAATGATGTGTGTCCCACTCAGAGGGTTCTTTTAAGAACCCATTGTAAAACATATATGAAGGTGGTTTGAGTGAAGGTTAAGCTTTTGTAGGCTAAGCCAAGCACAGTTACAGTTAGAAAGAAATGCCTGGGTAGTATAAGATACAGAGCTCTGACAATTAAATTCACAAACTCATCTGAGAAATGCTGCATACTGGATTGCTGAATACCAACATAGCTGTCATCATAGAGGTGTGACAATTAAGTTTGGAAACTTTCTACTGTGTGCTTGCGTTGGCAGCACTGTACAAACTACTTGGTAAGGTTTTATAACCTTGGTATATCAGTGTCTCACAGCTGGGTTTGTGTTGACATATGGTGGTGTCTTGCTGATTATTCATTAATCTTGTTAATTGTTCATTATTTTTGTATATTTTTGCTTGTAATATAACATCTCTGATGGCCATTCCAGAAAAAGAGTTGAAAAATCACTTTGAAGGGTGGACAAGGCCCTGGCATTGGTGCATAGCCTTCCCAAGGGGAGTACTTCAAAGGTGATCAATGTGAATTTCAGCAATGAGGTATATAGTACTTTTTCCAAGATGAGTTCATGAACTTGTCAGACCTCATAAGTCCTTAAATCTTTTAAAGTAAGATAATATGCTCACTTAAGCTCACCAGATAATTAGTGTGTAATGGCCATGTGATTACTGTAGTGAAGAACTTTCAAGAAGCCTTCTGAATAGCTGGATTATAGACTTTATCATATTCCACAGATATCCAGGCCTCTGCCCATTTATGAAGGATTAATAAGGAAATGGGGTTTGCATAAATTCAGTTGATTTGATGCAGTGGCACTTTCTTCCTTGGAGTTGGTCAAACTAAAATGGCTGTAGGGGACAAATTAATTTGACCCAAACCAGTGAGCCAGGAGTCAGGGATGCTCATATAAGTGGCAGCAGCCCAAGTAGGATGATTTCTGGGACAGCAAGATGGCCCTATAATCCCCAAAATACATTCCACTCTGACCTATGGATCTCTACATGCCATACCTGGAATTTGACTTTGGCTTTAGCTAAAGAGGGATTTTTAAAATTCGTTTAGACTTTTGTCCTTTTCCCAAGGTCCAGAAATGAAAGCTAGGGGACATGTGATAATTTCGTCTAGGCTTTACCTGCCTAGAAATATGGTGACCTGGCTTCAGGCTCCACTAAATGCCATAGAGGGTTTAGTCTCCCTAATTTGTCTGGGGTAATATAGACACTGGCCAGGTCAATGGCCAGGAAAAAAATCATTCACTTACTTACTCCACAGTACTCAGTACACAGTTCCATATTTCCCATGCAGTATTTTCAGTCTACATTTAATGACACAGTGTGAATTTGACACAATGTGAATTTGACTGTATTTCTCCTTTTAACTGGACTCACAAAAATGACATAATTACTTATCACATCACACATCATTTTTTTTTTGCTACACATTTTTAGCATCCCACACATTTCTCAACGCAGAGCAAGTAGAGGTCAGAGGTGAGGAAATGATTAACAGCTGCTCTAACACTGGGTTCTATCTAAAACCTGTCTGGTATGACCTCCAACCCTTCAGTAGATCAGGATGTGTTTTCTTTGGCTGATAATGTTATTGTGTCCTAATTCCTTGTCCTGGGTTTATGTTCCATATTCCCCAGGGAAAAAGCTTCTGCCTGAGTGTTCACCACCACACAATGGCTAGGAAATAGAGATTTCATAATGGCAACTTACTTTTGCCCAGCTTGTCCTTGGCCTGCGCAAGGTCCATACTTATAAGCATACACCAAGCGAGGGATAAAGTCAGATGTTATTGCGATGACAAATGCATTTGTAATAACCGAGAGAATTCCAATGCCTTCAAGAATTCCATACCAAATTCCTGTGCAAATGGAAGTCGTGTATTAGTTCCATATATAACAGCAGAGGTCATAAGTCTGGACACAAAGGAGATAACACATTTTCAATAGTCCTTTCTGTGTGCATTTTGCTCCATCTTTCCAGATTCTGACCCTTGCATCCAGGAGTAAGAATCTGTGCTTACACTTTCCGCAGAATGAATTTTCTAATGGAGTGTCAATGTGCTGGTGACTCAACAACCAGCATCAGACATAAGGCAGAGAATTCTGGTCAACTATAAGGCACCAAAGCACCATCTAAGACCAGCACACACAATGTCAAGCTACCCTCAGACTGGTAGCTCCTCAAGGATTTGGATAAGGTCCCTCCTGTTCATCTTTGGGGGCCCAGGCCCTGCACACTGACCCAGAGCAGGTGCTCACTGAATGTGTCTTTGTTTCATAAGGAGGTTAAGACCACAGTGAGCAGGAATGTCCACATGCAATTCTTCTCCATACATGTAGGCTGAGTGCCTCTCTGCCTGCTCTGTACACACAAGATACAGAAATGAATGAGTCTCTGATCTCTGCCCACTTTCCAGAGGGCTGCCTTGGATTCAACTCAGCATCTCCAGACAAAGACAAAAGCTCAACCTCTGCCATGAGAAAAACGAAATCATGCTTCATGTATGTCAGGCAAATACTTAGGAAAGACCAAAATGAAGTTAAGCAAGTGGAAGATCTATTTTAAAAAGGAAGTGATAATAAGGCAAACTTTAGATTCCAAAGTCTTAACATAGAAATAACCAAATTGAGAATCTATTTAAGCACAGATTCTCTAGCACTGGAAATTATCAACTTCCAAACAGGCAGCTTTACTTCTTATCTAACATTATCTAAAGCTTTTGCAAAAATTAGGTGAATTGTTTTACGTGGAAACTCTAAGTAAAAATCTAAAGTTGGTGGCTTTTCTGGTTTTATCAACCAGGTAGTTAACAGCTTTGAAAAACCACGTCCCAACCCAACTTACCTATGTCTTTAGCCCTTGAAGCTAAAGGTCTCCTCCACTGTGTGACGAATTTGTAAGCATCAAGTCGAATTTCAATTATGTTATTCAGTAAGGCCAGAAGGGGTGCTAGGGGGAAAGCTGCCACAAAGATGGTTGTGAATCCAAACTGAAGAACTAGAGAGAGAGAGAGAGAGAGAGAGAGAACAGAGTATTGGTTTTTCACCACTATTTTCAAAGGGATCATGCTCTGAATATGTCATCATCTTAAGCTCCATTTTTTTCCCAATAGAGAAACACAGAGGACATCTCTTCCAGAAAGACAGCCGGGAGCCTTGGAAAAAGAGGCACCTCTAGGGCATGGAAGCAATGGAATCCTAGAAACAGTGGGCACACCTGGGATTCAGATCTTGTTTTCTAAATACCATTTACTAACAAAAGGAGCATTCTTTGGAGGAATGTGTGATTCCAGAGCAGTGATAGAGGAACTACAGAGGAACCTGGGCTATCTCACGATGCCAGAAAGTAAGGAAATGCTCAGAGAATGATAAGGACGTGTCAGGAGGACATAGGACAAAGTTGAAAGCACCCCCGAGGGCCAAAGCTGGAATGATCTGTGCAACAAACTCAGCAGTGGAAACACTGGATTATAACCCACAGGGTAAGCATCTAAGTCTACCCTGATATTGATATAAATATGTGCTTGCATAAATGAGTAATTGAATAAATAAATAAATTAAAAAAATAAATAAATGGAGAATACGGAGTGGCTTTTCCTTATGGTATAATTACAGTTAATAAACATAAAAGGAATGATGAAAATAGAAAATCACCACTTGTTGGACATTACAGTAATAACTGCTATAGGTAAAAACCATTGAAGAGTGCTAAAATTAGAGGAGAAGCATGTTAAAGAAATTAGAGTATTTGTGGGTTTTCCAAGTTTCTCTCCACAAGCTAATTCATACAGAGAAGAATGGTATCTTTATGATGGAGAAACTTGGTAAACACCCTGTTAACCAAGTGCTCAAGTGAATCTCACCAGTAAAAGACAACATGATGTCACGTACCCCTGATATGATGCATTGAGGCGGGTACAACGTCCTTTTTTATGGTATGTTTGCTGAAAATGTATAACCACAAACTAATTATGTAAAAGCATCAGGCAAACTCTAACTGAAGGACTGTCTACAAAACTACTGGCCAGTACGGATCATGAAAACCAAAAAAGACTAAGGAACCATCATAGCTCAGAAGAAATTAAGGAGACATCACAACTAAATGCCATGTTGGATCATGGACGAATCATGGACAAGAAAGACAATATTACTGAGAAAACACAAAATTCAGATAAGGCCTGTAGGTTATTTAACAGCATTGTATTCATGTTAATTTTTTGTTTTTAATAAATATGCCAGATGTTAACATTCGGGGAAGCAAGACAAAGGTTATATGGGAGCACTATCCTTTTTTTGCAACTTTGCAAAATAAAAAGTAAATGAAAAGTAGGCTGTTTTTGATGTAAGACAACCAGTTGGCATAATTAAAAATAAAATCTATTGGGCATCATGGACAAAAACATCTTTGACTCAATGTATGACTTCATATTCTTCTTATTTTTACTTTTTAAACTTTATTTTAGAAAGTGACAACAACCAAATAATGACTAACACACATTTTGTATTTGCTAAAAAAAAAAAAGGAAAAAGGAAATAAAAGAGAAAAAAATAAGAAGAAAAAAAGATATTTTTTCTTACTCTTTTTTTTTGATCAACGTAATTTAAGTGTGCTGCGGAAGTTTAACCACAGGCTCAAGTGTGTCATGAGATACAAAAGAGTGAAAAACACTGCTCTAATCTGGTCCCCTTAGACTTCTGGTTTTATGGGAACAAATCATATAAGTACTTGGTGTTGCTGGTAATCCTCTGTTGAAACTTTTTTTCTTCCTCCAGGGGTCAGCTCAGTAACTGTACCCTACTATCGAACTTTATGGAACCGTAATTAACTAGTCCTGCCCCGTACAGCGCCTACAACTCTGCTCACCACCATAAAGTCTACTCTGCCTTGACTTCATGGCTCTTTGCCCATCATTCTTCTCTACCGCACTAGGCTTCACGAAACTGGGAATGGCAATGTCCTTATGTTTCCATTTCCAACATACCCACTACAGGGGTTTGTGTACAGAAAGGACTTGTCAGGGACAGATAAATGCTGGCCCAATGACTGACATAATTGCGATGAATAAAGGCCAGGGAAGTAAAGAAAACCCATCAGGTAGAAGTCAGACTGTCAGAGATAACTCTTACAATCACAAAGAGCACTGGATGTTACAGATCAGACTCACTGAAGAGTTCTTTCTTTCTTTCTTTTTTTAACATAAATTATATTTTATTCTCTCTTTAAGTAAAATACTAATTTTCAGGCAAACAAAAGGTAGACTTCACTGGCAGATGCCTTTTGTCTGTGGTCTTTTATTGTCTATCTGGAACTTAGACAAGATGCTGGAGGTGGTGCAGCCATCATGTGCTTATACAAGGCTCAGCCAGGCCTGGATCCCTGGGCTCCCCAACTAGGTCTGCCATAACATATTTCCAAAAACTGGGTGGCTTAACCAAAATGTCTTCTCTCACAGTTCTGGAGGCTAGAAGTCTGAAATCAAGGACATCTAGCCCTAAGAAGGATCATACTCTCTCTGAAGCCTTTACGGGAGGGTCCTTCCTTGCCTCTTTGAAGGTAACTCCAGGTATTCTTTGGTTTGTTACAGCCTAACTTCGGTCTTTGTCTCCATCTTCAGATGACCATCTACCTGAGTGTCTCCATCCAAATTTCCTTAAAGAATACTTCTTTAAGGTTGGGTTTATAATGAAAATAACTTCAAGTTTAAAAGGAAAATGTGTTTAGTTCATTCATAGTTTCCATTTATCTGGCCCCTAACACACTTCATTATCTAGTTAAACATTAACTGTGGCCCACAATCCCATCAAACAACTGCGGTCACATAGCAGCAAGGTGACCCATGTGACGCTGGTCTTTAAATGACTATGATGTCCGTTAATGGTTGCTTTCTCAGGAGCGTCCAGGGAAGAGACTCATTGTAGCATAGAGGTAGATAAATCTTTTTTTTATTTTATATTTTTTTAAGATTTTAGTGCATTGTATTTCGTATACTCACAGCCATATTAAAGCCTTTTTTTTTCTTATTCTCTGGGTTACCATGGGCCTAAACAATTGCCTTTCCATCTGAACAACAAAGTTTTTTGAACTGATAAATTCCTAAATATAAAATTGTCTACTTTTTAAAGTTCTTTCTTTCTAGCCCAAAGCTGTTTCCTTGCTTGTTTAAATGGATCTGCCACTGTTCTTTGCTTAAGACTTTTCCAAATTTCATTTCCTTTCCCAGCTAAGGCCCAATTCTCCTATAGGTGGAGGTAGATAAATCTTAAAAAATTATTTGGAAAAACTTTTACACACTGAAAGGCACAAAGAATTATGTAACAAAATTCCACATATCTATGAAAGAGTTAGTATTAACTCTTGGTAACATTCTGTCATACTGCTTCAAATCATTTTTAGAAAAGATTTTATTTATTTATAAATAAAGCCCTTCCTCCCTCCCTCCCTCCCTCCTTTCCTTCCTAAATAAATAAAGCCAAAGTCCCTTTTGAGTAGTCTCCTTTTCCTTCACAGGGGCAATAGCTGATGTGAATTTTGCATGAATTCCTGCAGTTCATTTATATTTTTATAAGCATATATATATATAAGTATGCATGTTCTAATAAATTATACATGGTATATATATCATCTAAGCTTTTTTCTGGGTCTAAAGTTCACACAATAATGCCATTCTTTATATATTTTTCACCTTTTCCATTTCACATGTTTTTGGATCTTGATATCTAGAGATCTGGTTCATCTTTTGAATTGCTTTATACATGTATTCCAATATTTCATACATGTCCTGTTGATTTATTCTTTCTCAGACATTATGTCTTTAAATATTTCTTTTTCTTATTCTTTTTCTACTTTCCTTTTGGGATTTCAATTACAAATATTTTAGACTTTTTTTTTCTGAGATATAGTCTCATTCAGTTGTCCTGGGTAGAGTGCCGTGGCATCATAGCTCACAACAACCTCAAACTCTCGGGCTCAAATGACCCTCTTGCTTCAGCCTCCCAAGGAGCTGGGACTGCAGGTGCCTGTCACTACACCCAGCTAGTTTTTTCTATTTTTAGTAGAGATGGGGTTTCACTTTTTCTCAGACTGATTTCAAACTCCTGAGCTAAAGCAATCCAGCCACCTAGGCTTCCCAGAGTCTAGAATTACAGGCATGAGCCACAGCTCTTGGCCTACACTTTTTGACTTGTTTCCTAGCATTCTGTCCTGTTTTTCTATTCTTTTCTCTCTCTGAGCTTCACTTTGGGTTTCTTTTTACCTGACTTTGTCTTTTAGTTCTCCAGTCCCATCTTCTGCTATGGCAATCTGCTATTAAACATATCAAAATAAGTTCTTAATTTTAGATATTATATTTTAAAATTCTACAATTACTTTCATAGATTTTCTTTTAAAATTCTCCATCTTTCGATCATTTCTGTTGATATTTTCTACTATTTTAACATATACATCATAGTCATTTGAAAATCTTTGGATGCTAACTCTACTTTCTGAATCATCTCAGGACTCCTCCCCCCCGGATTATTACTCACAATTTCTTGCTTTTTTTTTTTTGCATGCCTAGTAATATTTTTGGACACAAGACATGTGGAGGCTCTACCAGGCATGTCCAACCTTTTTATTTTTCTCTGCCATACATTGGAAGAATAAGAAAAAGCTGATTAGCAAAGAAAAGGTCTGTGCATACATTTCCTGATATCCAACACCATAGATAAACCAAAAGAAAAAAAAATCCTCATAAAATCAGCATGTGGCCCAAGGGCCAAAATTTGAACACCCCTGCTCCATCAAGGGTCAGCAAACTATGGCCCGCAGCCCACATTTGGCAAGTCATCTGTTTTTGTTTTTTTAGCCACTTGTGAGTGAAGAATGTTTTTTTCATTTTAAATGATTATATTTTAAATGGCTGTAAAAATATCTTCACAATTCCCTTGATTTTTGTCTATTGGCTCAAAAAGCCAAAATTATTTACCATTTAGCCCTTTAGGAACAATTGTTTTGCTCTCTGTTTTCAGCGACGTTCTTTTCCACCATAAAGAATTTCTATACTGCTGTTGGGAAGATAAGGGAGGAAAAGATCCCTGCCATCTGGTCACAGATTAAGCTGTGATCATAGAGAACACAGCTCTGAATGCTTATATTTGAAAAGGAGAAAATTTAAAAATAAGCATCTTTAGATGTTAAAAAAAACAAGTGAAATTATGTTTAAAAGAAGTGTACAGGAAAAAATAAGCATAAGAGCAGAAATGAACAAAATAGAAGGCAATGTATAATGGAGAAAAATCAACAAAGCCCAAAGTTTGTTTTTTGAAAAGAATAAGCCTCTAGCCAGATTGTTAATGACAAAAGGGAGAAAAGCACAAACTATGACATTATAAGTGAAAAAGGGTATCACTATAGGCTTCATGCACACGAAATGTTAATGGGAGGATATTATGTTCAATTTTATGCCATTACATTTGAAGATACACATAAAGAAGTTTCTTGATAAGAAAAACAACTAGAACACAGCTTATCAAAACACACAAGAAGAAATAGAAAATCTAAATAGTCCTGTATCTATTAAGTAAGGTAAACCTGTAATTGAAAACCTTCCCATGGAGAAAATATCAGTTTTAGTAAGTATATGAAATAACTGGGGCTCTTACATTGTTAGTCAGACACACCCAGCTTTGAAGACTACTTTCAAATGTCTATTGAGTAACAACAAATGCATATCTTACGGCCTGCTAACTCTACCCCTGTGTAAACTCTGAACAGAAACATGTACATTTGTTAATCAAAAAACATGTATAAAAGTGTTCATAGAAGTGTTATTTATAAGATCCTAGACCTGAAAATAACCTGGGTCTATCAGCAGCAGACTGGATGGATAAGCACTGGTACATTTCTATTTTCAGGAGCTCAGAAGATCTGCATGCTTACTGGTGAATCTACTAAGACCCTGATGCCTATACTTCCACAACAGAGTTTCACTTTTATTAAAATGCATTTACTTAGCACATTAATAACTAGAGTGCTCAGGAGGGAGGACATTTCAGGATAAAGGAGAGGATTAAGGTGTTGGTAGTGGTGGGGAGTAGGAGAGAAAGTCTGGGCATAAGTGGGAGTGGAAATGCAAAAAAAAAAAACCCCACATGACTAAAATAAAAGATGGAGGTGAGTTTCAAAGACACACTCTGCCTGTTACATAATTTTGCTTCAGGTCTACATTCTAGGAATACGACACAGCAATGAAAATGAAGCTCCACAATCTACAGCAACATGGAAGAATGTTATAAACATGAAATTGAATGAAAGAAGCCTCTTACAAAAGAGTATGTACTCTACAATTTCATTTACATGGAGGACAAAAAGATAAAATCCATCTGTGGTATTAGAAGTCAGGAAAGTGGGTAGAGAGGGTGTTATGAATGGGAGCAGGGACAAGGAGGCCTTCTTTGATACCAATTATATTCTATTTCTTGATCTCACTTGCAGGATGGCAAAATGTTTCTATAAAGAGCCAGATGGTAGGCTCGGCGCCTATAGCTCAACTGGCTAAGGCGCCAGCCACATACACCTAAGGTGGCAGGTTCGAATCCCCAGCCCGGACCCGCCAAACAACAATGACGGCTGCAACCAAAAAATAG